TGAAGCTGAACTCCACATCCAGAGGCTCTCCCAGATAACTGCTCTGAAACTCTGCATTCACACGCAAACTCACATCCTCATCCGAGATCTGCACACACACACACACACACACACACACACACAACGGACAGCTGTCAATCAAGCACAGATCATTATTGACAGCTATCAACACACAGATCATGATTGACCGATATCAACACACACACACACACACACACACACACACACACATCCTGCCTGCCAGTCGGCAATCAACAAACAGAACATGACTGACAGCTGTCAATCAAACATGCGCACACACAAAGATTCAGTTCAGTTCCTCTGAACATAATCAATATTTCAACTGGCATTCATATGCAGGTTAATCTCTGTATTCCTCAACAAAGACAAGCAAATGTTCACTATAGTGATGATGAGTGATCTTATTTAGTTAATTCTCCACACAATAAACCGATTATTACACGCCATGACTGACAGCTGTCAATCACAGGTCATGAGGAACAAAACAAAAAGCGCCAGTGAGCAGTGAGTGCTGGATGTGTTTCGGCTGTATATTCCAGCATACGCAAGCACAAAATCAGCTCAACACTACAGCAGTAGAAAACAAACACACAACTGCCTTCCTAAAGTAAAAGACTGAAGCAGCAGCGAGCAGCCTGTACCTCTGTGACGTACGCGATATACTCAATCACCACTCCTCCACTGCACGGCTTCTTCAGGACCACTTTATCACCTACAGCCGGAGGAAAACAAGCCAGAAACACACTCAGCCTTGATGAAGAGGTTTATTGTGCATGATTCTTAAATTATTATACATTATATCATCTAAAACAGTAGATTATTGAGGATGATTGTTAAAATGACCAATCTGAACTCAACAAAGAGGTTTGAGTTTGCACACCAATGCACAAACACCAGGCATGGATGAACGAGTACACAAGTTAAAGCATCAATCAGATTTAAAGCGACAGCGCATTATATTGAGCCACAGACTCAACAAGGGGATTTTGTTAGAAAGAGAGCATGCCAAAACCACCTAAACACTTCTGATGTGCAACGGTGTAACTTTGACTCATGACTTACTCATTACAGACTAATTATTAGCCACCCTGTATCAGAAAGAGAAGATCAACACATTTCTAAACATAGTCTGTTCTGGAGACAATCCAACACTAATATTGCTGAAGGAGCTAATAATATTGCCCTTAAAATGGCTTTAAAACTGCTTTTATTCTAGCCCAAATAAAACAAATCAGACTTTCTCCATGAGAACTAATATTAGAGGAAACACTGTGCACAACTCCTCAATCTGTTTAACACCATTTGTGGAATATTTGATCAAAAATATATGTATTTTTTTATTTTACTAAGTGAATCTGCTGACCGATGAAGAGGCTGGGCCGTCCCTCTGCCAGTCCCGGCACCTCCAGGTGTAAGTACACCGCTCCTCTCCTGAGGATGGCGCCGGTGAGGCTGAACTCCCGGATCTCCCTCTCGGCCTGCAGCTCCTCCAGCCACAGCAGAGCAGAGAAACGCGGCAGCATCGTCCGCAAACTCAACGCCTGCGCAAACACACCACAATCAACACACAGTGGTGCTTTCATGCGACATCACAGCATTATGGGAGCGCCCCCTGGTGGACAAAACAGCATCGCCCGCTGACTACAAACTCACATGCTGGGTGATTTCCAATTATTTTAGCCCAAAAAAACCTGGATAATTGTGCAATAATAAGATCTACTAACAACAACAAGCTAAATAATCTGCTAATGGGAGAGGAAACATCATCTTGTTTTCATTTTGACATAAGATCATGCGAAAACAAGATCCATTTCCTCTCCCATTGTCAGATTATTTGGCTTGTTTTAAGGAGAAACTCGCTTCATTTAGACTCATTATTTCTGAAAACAGCACTATATTTTGTACTCAAGCAGAAAAAGCTACTTGATTTAAGAGTTTGTAGATATTTGGACTAGAAACAGGACAGAAACTCCATGTTTTGAAACACCCAGAGGAGGTTTACCTGCGTCTTTTGTTAGATTTGCTGTTCATGTTTGTAATGAGGCAACAAACACATGTAGAATAAGCTGAACATTAGTGTTTATGCACAGTGTCGTATCTCTCAGCTCTTACGGTCATTTTCCTGGAGCAAAAACATGCTAAAAAAAGTCAAATACTATTGTGTTTCCGCAAAGGTCGATATTAATTCAAGCCTGTGTTTTCATATTCATTAAAGCTTCAAAATTCCTATATACCTGGGAATTTACTCTTCAGAAACACCAAAATTAATGCATACCTTCTTAACACACTACTAACAACAAGCCAAAAGGCAATAACAAAGAAACGGCTCAAGCAAGATCCTCCATCTGTAGGCGAATGGTATGATATTGTAAAAGAGCTGCATGACATGGAAGTACTGACACTTTCCTTGAGACAACAGGTCTATACAATTTCTGCACACTGGGGTAAATGGTTGAGAAGAAATGCATTGTTCTGATTTTATTGTGGTGATTTTATTTATACACATGTGTAGCCTGTTGATGTGTAACTAAATTTTATATGGCAACATTTGATCAACAATTAATACGAATGTAAATAAGATTGTATTCGGTGACCTTTGACACTTGTATTGGAAGTCTCTTCTGTTCCTTTAAAAATGTTATTTTTTATTGTTGTTGTTTTGTTCTGAACTGTTTTGAAAAAATAAATAAATAAAGTAATTTTAGGGTTTGACCTCGGCCAGAGCAGGCTGGACCACCAGCACATCCTTCTGGGCCTCCACACACTCCCGGAGCGCCTGCGGGACGCCGTAGTTCCCCAGGAAGTTTGGAAGATGCCGCCTCGTGAGTCTGTCAGAAATAAAACAAACCAACAGTCCTGTCGACTTCAGAGAGAAACTCCTGACTTTAAAACCTGCTCATGACTCTTGCAGACAGCAGCACTAATAAATCAGACCTGAGCGGCGTGGGCGGCGCCGAGACCGTGAGCACCTGCAGGGGCTGCGGCAGCTGCGCGGGAGCGGACGGAGAGCAGTAGGGCATGCTGGGATTGAGCAGCTGCTCCTCCACACTGCTGACAGACAGCTCCAGACGCCGCCCGATGGTGAAGGAGGAGAAGTGCAGGAGCAGCAGCTCAGAGGAGCGGCCCAGAGTCCTACACACACACACACACACACACACACAAGCAAATATTTAAATCATGCAACGAATTTAAAACATCCAGAAGTGCAAGCCGGACCGTTAAACTAGTCAAACAATAGTCTGGTCTGCATTGTGCAATAAAAATATCCCAAATAAATAAATAACAGCAGTCAGCAGGCGAGAAAAGGAGGATTTCAGTCATTTTATGGCATTATTTTAGTTAGTTTTACTTTAACAAAATCATTTGTGGTAATTATGCAATAAAATAAAGACAACTTTTAATTACAGTGCAAAAATACTAGTAAAAAATAAGTTTTCTTTGATTAATTGTTTTCCTGCAACTGTAAAATAACGCAGATAACAGTTGAATCAGAATAAACGCAACATAATGTACTTTAAATGTGTGATATGACTGAAGATGTGTTTATTAAAAAAGATGCAAGTATATAAACCATACTCTTTCTGATTTAGACTAATATAACAGCACACTTCCTCTGTGAGGCTGCTTTGGAAAGTGCAATATAAATAAAGATGAACTTAAGCATTATTAAGTCTTATTAAGTCAGGCTTTTATTTTGAAGACCGCAGGAAGTCTCTAAAGCGCTTCCTCTGAGCGAGTAAAGTCGTGCAGACGCTCACTTTGCAGTGCAGCAGACGCACACACACATCTTCTGTCCAGGGTGGATGTCCAGCGGCTCCTCCAGCATCCGCACAGGTGGAGCTTCAGTTCCTCCATCCTCACACCTGCTGACGGAGCGGACGCTGAACTGCTGAGCCGAGTCCCAACCTGCACACACACACCGCTGCAGCTGCTGACGCTCCGAGCCACAGTTCCTGTTGCACGAGAACACACACACACATAAGCATATGCAAGCACACACACACATGGGAAAAACGCACTCATAGAGGCATGCACACATCTACACACATGCACCAAAATGCAGACAACCATGCACACACACAAATGCATGCACACACACACGCACACACAAACAAGAAATGTGTGTGTCATAGATCTGCTGGTTTCAGACTGCTGAATGAATATCCTCCTGCACACACCGCTGGCCGTGGTTGTGTGTGTGTGTGTGTGTGTGTGTGTGTGACCTGCGCTGCAGCGGCGTCATACACAGCGCTCTCCAGCTGTACAGAGACTGACTGCTCTCCAGGACCACCAGATTGACCAGATCTCCTCGAGTCGGCCTGAAGCCCGGCGGGACGATCAGAGAGTCCAGATTGAAGAACACGCTGTCCTCCACCACACCAGTTTTACTCAGCACACACGTCACGCTCACCTGACACACACACACACACACACAC